TAATACATACGTGTAATTATATTATGCATCGACAGCTGTAAAACGCTTTTTCAACTTACCTACGATAGCGCCAGCAGTTATGGTGACAAAACTCATGATAATTGAACTGATGCCGTAAGCCGAGGCAATTTTTTCTATTTTAACATCTTCTATGATAACCAAAGGCTGCGGAACTAACAACCACGATCGCACGGCGCCGATTATAACTATCATAATTAATGCGCCTGTAAGCGTACTCTCGTACATCAGAAATCCTACACATTATGATTTTTATGAGAAAACTAGAAATATTCTTAAAAAATTTGCGATAATTTATTTACACAAATATATAAGATTTTAGATACTCACCTATTCTTGCGAATTCCGTTAAGATTGTGGCGACAAAGAATATGTACTTTGACTTGACGCTCACTATCAACGTAAAAATTGACAGTAAAACTTTTGACACCAGCTCAGCTATTCCGCTAATTGTGACGCTCAATGCGGCGTAGGCTTTTGGGTATCCCATATCGGCCAACATAAGTGGAAGAAGAGAAGAAAAACCAAAGTCGGCAGTGCATACAAAACTGGTGCCAAAGCATAAGTTTATAAAACATAAGTTCTTCACCAGAGAAATATCCACAAGTTCTTTCAAAATGGTTTTATACCTATTGTATTGGGAAGATAAATTGGAGCGTAAATTATAAAAATATCTTATTATATATTATAATATTATTATATATATATATATATATATAAATAATGTCATAATAAAAATATATTTGAATATAAAAAACTTAATAACAAACCACCAAGAAGTTTTAAAACGTACTAATCTCAAATCATATATAATTCAAATACACAAATTATATAAATAGATGTAAACCGTAATAGATATACTTACTTTATCATCTTTTGTTTTTTCTCAATGTCTTGTTTCTCTTCTTTCTCCTGAATTGCTTTATCTTGCTTCTCTTCTTTCTCCTGGATTTCCTTATCTTGCTTCTCTTCCTTCTCTTGGATTTCTTTATCTGTCTGTTTTTCGCTGTTCCTCTTTTCCAGATGCCGTTTGTCGCTTAGTATACAAGTCGTACGAGTAGTCAGATTACCTAAGCTAGAGGCTGAGATGGCTAATGTACGCCTCGATAAACTTTCCCGTACAAATCCTAATTTTGCTCTACCGTGGCCCTCGATTGCCGAGACTGACGCGACTCTTTGCGCAGGGGGCTGCCAAACAAAATTAATGTAAACGCGAATGGACAAATATAATTGGATAGAAAAATTAATTGACAAAATGAGGAGGAGATCTTAGTGCTCATTGAATTTTTATCACCTTAAGATTTTCAGTCAGCAATGGCATTTCTGTGCCTCTTTCATCCTTGAGACTACGAAGACTGCTCCATTTAGTCTTTGAAACTGAATGAATCACGTCGATAGTTAAACGACGATTCGACAGTTGTAATTCGCGAAAAATTTTTTGTTCTTTGTCGCGCGCTTTTTCGGCACGGACGTCTTCCAACTTTTTGGTGTGCCATTCCACGGGATGCATCATTGTCATCCCAACGATGCCATGAAGGCTTATAGCGCCTATGATTGCAGCAGTACCTAATACGAATGACAAACAAAAATGAGTTATACTAAATTTCTAGATTTTTGCCTTTTGCGACATCTTACCACGAAAACCGTAGAACGGCAGCATCTTTTCGCACAACGTGGGATAAACAATTCCGCCAAACGCAATGATAACTTGCGACGCGTACATGACCTAAAGAAGAGAGAGAAAAATGTTTAATGAGCTAAGAATTTAGCGTTTTTAAACAGATTTTGTGAGTATTGCTTTACTTTCGCTCTTCTCTTCACAAAGTACGAGTTGAAAACCGTGTTGGTGACTGTAAGAATTAAGCCCAATCCAAAACCTTGAAACAAATAGAGGAAAGCCATCTCGTATATGTTTCTGACGAATGCCAGGCAGATATTAGGTAACGCAAAAAAGAGCGCAGCTACAATTCCGACCGATCTTGAAGAGTATCTCTTCAACAACGTATTGGTGAGCAAGCCTGCAAGAATTTCTCTGTTACTGCATAAATGAATAAAAAGAAAATTATTTTGCCAATAAAAATAAAATGCTGTTTAAATAATTTTCATAATATTTATGACTTAGTTCATATTTTATTATTTATTAATTATATATCATCTTGGAGCATCTTTAAGTTTCAAACATTTATACCAAATATTTTTAAATATTTTATTATCATGATATTTTATGTTAATAATATTAAATATAAAAAAAATAATAAAAGATAAATATCTAGTTAATTTTTTATTCAAGAATCTTTATTTAATTCATTGTTGAATTTATTATCTTTGGACTGAATGTGAAGATCGACGATGATAGTAAAATCGTATTTTTTCATTAGAATTAGCTTTAATCAGTCTAATCTGATAATTACGATACATTCCAAGAACATGTGATAACAAAATGTAGTGTATGCTTTTTTATAAGTAAGAATTCAACTACAGTTAGATTCACCATAAGATTTATGTGTCGGAACACATATATTACGATTGAATACGTCGTAAATATTTATATGCTCAAACGAAACTTCGAAATTTCATTACACATGTCATTCGATTTAATTCTTTGTACAAAAGTGTCAGTGGTAGAAAATGTAAATTTGCAGCAAGAAGCTGATGACTTAACCGACTTAACTGACTTAACTGACATCGATAAGAGCAGAAAAATGACGTTTATTTCGAGAACTACTTAATCTTCTTATCACGCGGATACATATGCAAGTTTCTTTTCTTCTTTCAAGAAGAATTTTCAAGAACAATT